CTTCCTTGAATTTGCTTGGCATGAAGCCCTCAAGTCAGCTTGTTGCGGTCAGCAATTGGTTGACGAGTTGGGTTATATTCTCTTTGGCTTACTCAGGGTCGAGAAACAAAGTAGAGGCCTGCTTGTAAATTGGTTTTTTTTTTTTTGTTTTTGTTTTTTGTTTTTTGTTTTTTTGCAACTTGCTTCAAAGAAGATTTTTGGAAGAAGTAGACTGAAGATGAGAAGGAAAAGGCTAAGCGAGTTGCTGGAAGAGATTCATACAGCTTGTTTTCCTCCAGATAAGTAACAAACAGTTTGCTTTCCTCCAAGAGGAAAATTGAAATTTACAACAGCTTCAGGATTCTTGTCTCTCTCTTTTGCTTGACATGAAGCCCCCAAGTCATTTGGAGTTTGCATGTGCTGTTTGCTATGATGGATTCTCTTAAGCCTCATAAGCCTTTCGCATGATGTTTTGTCTGAAAAGCTTTAAATTTTACTGTAGTGCAATTGCATGAATAAAGCTTGTGATTTTTCAGGAGTTGTCGTATGGCCATGAGAAGAAGTTCTTGCAAGTATTAGTTGCCGAAGTATCCATCTTCAGAAAGACCAATTCTTAAGTATGCCTGAAAATAATGATGGTGCCAAAGTCTGCGCAGAAAAACATGGGGATAATTGCAATGATGGGTCAGCTGGTTGCATAAATAATGAGATCAACAATGGTGATGAAGGAGATGGTAACGTGAAATAGAAGATACGATATTCTTTTAGCACCAACTACCCTTCTCCCGGCACCTACTGCCCTTCTTCCAGCACCAACCTCCCTTCTTTCTTAGTGCATTTGAGGTCGTCCTTTGAGGTGATTGACAAGGTATGCCCTTTCCTTTTTGCAATTTCTTGAATCTATCGAGGGGCTTGTTGGGCTCTTCATGCCCATGGGCTTTGCTCGTTCACTGGAATCTCAGGTCCTTCTTTTTAACTCTGTAGGAATAGATATAGACTGATATCTTGGCCTAGGCTTGTTTTTCTTATGCTTGAATAAATTTGGACTTTTCTCCCATGTTGTGGAAATAGAAATTGATAGAGTGCATGCTCTGCAATGCTTGAATCCTTTTGCATTTTGAGGAAGAATTTGCTTGTCATGGGAATTGCTTGAAAATTTCGCTTGCCATGGATAAATTGTATGCTGCTTGGGTATTTGCTTAAGTGTTTCCTTTGGCCTGAGTTTGACTTGCCCTGCTTGGCGTATATTTTGCGTGTGCTGCGTTCTTGACCCACTTTTTTGTTGTTGAACTATATGCATCACGAGCGCATGCTTGTAATCGTATGATTAATGCATAGGATTAGAGGCTATTGAAAGCTTTGAGAAAAGCACCATTGGTTTCTTTCTATTTTTATTTTTTATGAGCTTAGAATTTGGTCATGGGTAACTGTTTATTTTTTTGGCTAAGGATAGACATAAACATGTGTATGATGGGTCTGCAAGGATGTGTAACTCGTAGGTATTTCGTTTTTGTGAAAAAGGTTACTATGAGGTAAATAGTGCTCAGTTTGTAGCACTTGCTTTGTGAAAATGGGTCTGCTGGAATGATTGATTGAGCATGGAATGGGAAATTTGCTCATCATGAGCTCGAGTAATAGATTGCATGATGCTTCAAAAATAT